CACATTTATGAGGCTCCTCAAATGAAGGACTTATGACAATGCCACCCCATCAAGAGCCAATGTTCCCAGTGGCTCCACTGCATAACACTTCACTTAACCTCTTGCTTGTCAGAATCCTCCATAGGTAGCTCTTTTTGTGATACCAACCTCTCAATGAAAGCACCAATATGACGAGTATAAGCCCAAAGAAAGAGCCCATCCTAAAATACTAGCCTATTTGGAGAGAAAGCCTCTTGAACTTATAAACCATGCACTATTTATAAAGCTCCCCGATGTGAGACTCGTGACAGTAAATCACTACCACCATGAGGAATGCCCATAATTACATGAGAAGGAACCTGTAAAATAATATAGCAGAAGTTCATTCTAGCTTACCGGAAAATGGTTTTAGTTCTAAGAACAAACTAGAGCCTAATGACTAGCAAACATAAACTTTTAACCATGACAACTGTATACATAAGGCTAAAACCAATATTAGCAATCCTAAGCATCTTAAAAAACATGATGTATTATGCGTATAACAAAAAATAACCATGGATTCCTTTTATAAATGTATTAAAGCGGTGAGTAATGACTTGGGATCAGGAAGCTCTTGCGGTTCAGGTTGTGAACATTGTGATGCTAGACACAATAACTCAGTGCCCTCATAAACAGAAAATTGTCCTTTTAAACAAGAGTCTGTCAGCATTTGAATGTTTCTGCCCCGAATTAAGTCATGTGCTTGAAACAAAAGTGATAAATGTACCATTTAAACTAAAATAGTACAAAATGCTATGACTTCAATAAAAAATTATGTCCAACCCTAGAGTATCATTTTATATCATAAAAATGTGGTATTCTCATATTTAACTCTACCAATGGCTAATACCAACGTGTGTTTAACAAGAACAGGGAAGGAAGTTCACCTGATCTAAGAGATCAGTAACAGTCAGAAGATTGACAAAACAAATAGACATATGACATTTTTTTTGGAACACAAGAAAAAATTGCAACTAATGCATAGGGCCTGTTTCAGTGGTCAAGGAAGAATACCTAAACATTCTCATCAACATTAGGCCTACCTCATGATGGCATAGTTGAAATAGAAATCCTGCCACACCTACTTACTACTGATTTTTTATATCCTTTACAAGCAATTGTTGAGGAAACATACCCTAACTTGCTTGATCACATCAAGGACTCAAAGTATTTCACTGATCGAGCTACTAGAAGACTTTGCAGTTTACTATGGTTCTGACATGGCGCCAAGGACTGAAAATGACAATGACTCCCCAAATGATTTGTACTCAAACAGAATTCCTTAACACTATTTACTATTCTGGTTTGCCACCTCACAGCTTACACTTGAAGAAGGAACACCAATCATGCCTCTGAGAAATATAGACCAATCATCAGGTCTATGCAACAGTACAAGATTGAGAATAACACATATGGGAAAGCATGTGTTAAAAGCAACTAGACTAAATGGACCACTTGTAAAGGATGAACATGAACCCTTCTGAGACTTCTTTGCCTTTTGTTATGCAGCGAAAACAATTTCCAATCATCTTGTCACTTGTAAGGCCGATTAATAAAAAACAACGTCAATCACTAGAAAATGTAGGCTTATACCTTCCAAGACCAGTGTTCTCTCGTTGGCAACTATATGTTGCAGTGTTAAGGGTAAAGTCAATTAATAAACTAAAAATCCTAATTGATGGCAATGATAAGAAGCTAAAATCACACGCTACAAATGTTGCGTATGGAGAAATTTTCCAAAATATACAACTTGAGAGTTTATATTGACACCTTTTTTATTCCATACGAAGAGTGTACATAACTAACATTTAATTGAAAATTCCAAAATTGCAGTGAGCACCTACCGAAACATTACAAATTTGTATTGGTCTATATTTCTCCAGAATCCGAAGTCATTGGTATTGTGTAACACATGGGATCTTTCCGAGTTTAACATAAAGGGATTTTATTTTCCTATTATTTTTTTGAATAAAACTCACAAACTCTTCTCTATTTGACCTTAGTTTAATTTTTATAATTTAATTTTACATTTTTGGCCAACAATAATCATGATTTTGATGGGTTGTAAAATAAAACTAAACCTAAAATATTTATATCAAGTATACTTTTACCACTAATTCAGTCATGAGATTTTTTGTGGGTCTAAAATTTATATTAACAAATATTTCCTCCGATCCCATTTATAAGTCTCATTCTAAAAGGTCCATTTGGTCTCATTTATAAGTCATGGTGTGTCTTTTTAGGTAATATTTGAAAAGCATTTCCAAAACCACCCTTCATGAAAGAGAAAAGGTAATATGACATTACTTTTTAGATTTGTTATATAGAGGCATGTTTGGAATTTTACTTATTTTTATTCCTTGTACTTTTATTGTATTGATATTGATAAGGTTGGTAGAAATGACTTATAAATAGGACCGAAGGAAGTAAGATTTTTTTAGTAAAAAGATTTTAAAATTTTTAAAATATTTTTTTCCAACACATGTCATGAGAATTTTATTTTTTTTCCCCCGTAAAAACACAATTATATTAACAAATAAAAAAAAAAGTAGCTACAAGGTTAATGTTAAAACAAAATTAACAAAACTACTATGAAAAGTATAGGTGGGAAAAACAGAATTTTTAGGACCATACTTCTGAATTCTACAGCTATTAAAGTCTTTTAAAAGCCTAAGGATGTCCTGATCAAAGAAGTGATTTTGTGCTTAGCAGAAACAAATTCTCTTATAATGCCAAACATGTAAATATTTCAGATTCGACTGATTATGAGAGAGACTTCGAACAAAGTTCTGAATCCAGAACAGAAGAGCCCGAAAGCAGAAAGTCAAGAATGGCTGGGGAGGTGTTGTTTCAGATCTATCAAAATCACTTCAACACAATCTTTAGCATTGAGAGACAGATGAGCAGCACAATGGGCTTTTTTTTTTAAAAAACAAGTGGAGCTTAATTCTCGAAATAGGAATAACGTGTGGAATATGTGACTGAAGCAAAGAAGGTGCATATCTTTCCTCCTAAAATCTACAGGGATTCTTCGGTGTTGTACAGTAAATATTCTTCCAATTGCATGCATCTGTGAGAAAAAAGTATTGACCTTGAAGTTGACGAATGACCTGATCCATAAGAGTTATCTTTTCTGTATGTAAAGCTTGATTTCTGTAGAATCAAATTAAGTGAATAAGAAAAAATATGCTTCCCAAAAAGCCATCTTGTTGGCTGTGATAGAGTTCACAAAAAATCTGTAAAACCCACTGAATAAACCCAATATTTAAAAGATCAGAGGAGTGCATGGACAAAGAGACAAACCAAATAGCTTTAGTGAAGGGCAATCACAAAAAATGTGATTAAGAGGCTCAAGAGAGTCGAATCTAAAGATACATTGGAGATTGGAGTTGAGATAATGTTTTTGTAAGTTATCCCTGTGGGAACGGCAATGTGAGAGTTTTCTTTTGACCTTCGAAACATGTCATTAGATTTACCCGTCTTAAATAAAAGGCAATTAAATTTAGAATAATTAAGATAAGATTCTTGTTTCTCAATCCATTTTTTATCTTGAAGCTTGCTATTTTTTTTAACGTACTAGGACTTATAAAATTATCATAGTTAGTTAGCCTTAAAAAAAAGAATTATGAATTATTTTTGCCTTTCAAGTGTATACAAAAAGTTGTAAATAACCTCAAACTTAAACATCTATCATTTATATTTTTCAATTTTAAAGATTTTATTTTTCTTCACCTTGTTGATTGTTGAATGTGTTTCGATCATTTATTGCTTTGTGAGGCTTACAATTTTAATTTTTTTAATATTTTTATTATAAAATATTATTAGTGAGTCTCACATTATTTTTTTTATATATTGTTATCCCCTCTCCTTCTCTCTCTCCCTCTCTCTATGCAACCATCTCCTTTTTATCAGCTTATTCTCATCTCTCTCTTGCTGTCCTCTTCATCCTTTAACAGGTCATCATCACCTTCATCATTGTTAGCTCACTCCTCTTTCCAGACACACGAAACTCAATGATCAAGCGAGGTAACCATGATGAAGAGAGGAAGAAGCACCAAAATGTTCAAGGGATTGATGACGTGGATGAGGAGTTCAACGATTTGGTGGCGGCAATAAAGCATCGAAGCAAGTAGAGCATCCATGGTAGAACCTGTTGTAGGATCAATGTGATCTTGTTCTACGTGCTTATGTTGTTCAATTCTATTGGGTTTAGTTGATAAGGAACACGACTATAGTATTAACTCTAATAACTAACATGACTATGTTGCTGTGTGCACAAGACTACTAGCAATGATACAGAGCACGTACAACATGAAAAAATTGCTCAACGATGCTGTGTATCAAGCTCATGATGAGTTCATGGTGGCTCTCAAATATGTCACCCCCTCATCTTCTATTTCTTCTGTCACTCTCTCCTCATCCGGTTCATGGTGGCTCAATTTCATTCCTACCATCATCTTGCTGCTGCACCAAAACCATCCACATCATTTGATAATCTGAATAGCAATTACGAAGAGACTAAGGGCTTTTGCTGCTTTAAAGATGGGAGAATAGAGGATGAAAAGAAACATAAAGAGAACGATGAGGTTAAAGGAAGAGTTGTCATTGGATGAGCATAAGGAAGAGGGGGGGGGGAGGAGGGAGGGAGAAAGTAGAGGAGAGAGAGGACTTAGCTCGCCATAAATGTTACTAGCTTACTTCATCTATTTGGCCTTATTGTCTGAAGTGCAGAATGTGACAAGCAAAGTAGTTTGTATAAGAAGGGAGAAAGGGGGGAGAGAGAGAGAAGTAACATGGAGGAAAAGGGAGAACGATTGGTCAAAAAAAAAAAAAACTAGTGAGTGAAATCCATCAATAGCTTGAGAAAATAACTTTTTGTATATAATTTAAAGTGTATTTGATTAGAGGAGAGGGCTCCCCTTTAAATTGGGAGGAGCTTCTTTCCCTCCCCTTAAACCAAATAAATTCTTAAAAGATAAAAATGACTCTTCATCCTCAATAAAAAAAAAAAAAAACTTGCATCCCCTGCAACAACACGGCTTGATAGGGCGCTTTCTGCAACCACACTGAACTCTGAACCCTCCCAAGCTTGTCTGCTGTGCTGCTGCTCCTGGCCGTGGAAGAACGCAGCCGCTCCGTGCCATTGCTGCCATTGCTCCTAGTGGAAGAATCCATCGCAACGCATCTGCGGTTCCGACTTCTACCATCTCAAGACTCAAGGTTCTTCTCTTACTTTTGGTTTTCTTTTTTCTTTTCTTACCCTTCAAGAGGCTGAGTGATCGGTCATCGTGCTTTATTTTGATTTGAAAAGATTATTCTGTACCTCCATTACAAGGGCTTTTAAACAAATGTCCCCTGTGCATGGCGTCTGAGTTTCGAGTGTCGGAGATATCATCCCATGAGCTTTGCAATACCTCTGTATGCTGTCTTCCCTTTCCGCAGGCTTCGTAATTTTCTGGTATTCTATAAGAAACAGACAATCAATCCCGCAACTGTAACTGCTGTAGCCTTCAAATAGTATGTGCAAAAGGCAAATATACGCTTTGCGTGAAAAACTTATAGTATCTTGCTTAGTGTATACCCTTTTGCTTTTGTTCTTCTATTATTGTCTATTGTGTTACAAAAGGGAACTTCAAGTTTATTCTTAATGAATTACTATTTCATGCTTGTTATAGTTTCTTTCAAGTGTGACTTCGCCGCACCCGGTTGCCTTCTATCATCAATTGTTTGTTGACTTCATTCAACCGAAATTTTGCTGGTGAGTGGTAACCTTACAGATTTGGTTCTATGTGTGTTGATTGATATGATTTTTGAGCCACCCATTGAACTGTGGTGATAACTTTAACATGTGGTTCTATTCTTATATTCTTATGCTCTACCTGACTGCCTATGTGAAGGCTATCAAACAAATTTTCCCGTCTATTGTTTTCATTGTTTGGACATTTCTCAGATGAGGTTTGTGAAGCCGTACCAATTGTTTCTTAGTACGATGAAGGAGACTAAGAGGAAACGAGGGCGATTACTCGGTTTAGATGTTGGCGATAAATATGTTGGGTTAGCTGTTTCAGACCCTGATAACAAAGTTGCCTCACCTCTCAGGTAGGAAGCCTCTCGGGCCCATAGTTGTAGCCTTTGTGGGGTTGAACTATGCCTCTCAAGCCCATATAGCAATTATTGACTTATACTATAAGTTTGCGTAACATTTGGTAACTGTATGCCTGTCCCACTTATAGTTATAAAAAAGATGTAGCCATTGAAAAACATTGGCTTTATCCTGGACTCCAACTTAGTTTAGTATTATGTGATTACAGAGACATGTCAAATTATAGCAACATTGTTTTAAAAAGCTGATAAAAAAGAGAGAGAATTTACCCTGAGGAGAGTGAAATTTGAAACCCTGTGAGGTTTATATTATCCAGGCTTGCCGAAGTATTTCATATCAATCTGTATTGATGTTATCGGGGCTGCTCATTCATGTCTTCAAACCTTTTGTTTAAGTTGATTAGTTTCGCTTGGACTAGAAGAAGACTTAAGCTTCAATAATTATGTGTTTGTCATTATTTTATGCTTCCAGAGTTATTTGAGTAGATGACATAAAAAGTCAGCTTGGACATGTTATCTATTGCTTTTGTCTTTTATTTTTTATAGTATGAGAGAAGGCCGCAAGGTAGCAATTCCAGCTGTCCTCTTGTGAAGTTGAAAGTTTATTATGTATTTTTATTGTTTGGTATTAATATGTTCTAAGTAGGACAATCTTTCTGAACTATCATGGTGATGTTGGTTAGTGACTTTGTGAGGATAAAGGAAATCCAGAAAAATAATAGTTAGGGGTAAAGCATATTCTCTCCAGTTTAGACCAGCTACTTCCATTATCACTGTGGGCTGTGGCCTTGACATTACTTTCATTGCTGCCACTAGGGCCAGTCCATATGGCTTTTGCCTTAACTGTCTTTGCTACTTGCACCCTAACCTCTTAAACCACCTTAATCATTGCTACCAAGATCATCACTATCGCCATTTCTCTTAACTTTGCATTAGCAACCCAGTAGCCATTATCACCACATGCTGATACCATGACCTTCCACTGCCCTTTATAAGTTAGAAGTTATCATTTCTTTGCAAACACCAAGTCACTTAGCTAGTAACATTATTGCTTCTTGTGTAATTTTAGCTTGGAAATTGTCACTTACTGACATTTTACCCTTCAGCAAATAAATCACATTGACATCATAAAAGGCGAATTATTCCATGAGTTTTAAATATGAATCAGTTTTAACAATTAGATAATCAACTTTATTCTTCTTTAGAACTTTACGTGTAATGTTTGGTTCTCATGGCCATGACATTAATTCTTGTACTTGTTTATTATCACCGTAAATTTTCCTTTCTATTTTTGTCATATTTTCATGAAATAAAGTGTATTTTTTATGCCAGTGTTCTGGTCAGGACAAAGTCAAATATTGATTTAATGGCCTCTGATTTTAATCTACTGGTGAGCTTGTTTTATCTCTTGCATCTGATTACATTTACACTGTCTTCCTAATTCTGCACGAAGTTTGTTAGGAGAGCCCTTCTGGTTCTTGGGTTGAATGTGATGATAAATTTAATGGAAATGGCTTTCAATTTTTATTTTTATTTTTTTTTTAAAAAAGGAGCAATGTCTCCGAAAGTGTTATTCTCTATGTTGTAACTTACAACCTGGAATTACCTGAAGGTATTTCTCTTATTGCCAACTTCTTTTTCAGTTCCCTTCTCCATTCTCGTGTTGGTACTAAATTGAAACTTTATGTCAAATATGAGCGTTTGTTTATACAGTTAGCTTTATCACTTAGGAGTATTTCTTTTCTGTTTTCAATTTCATCTATCAATTATGCTCATTTGCTCACTTTCTGGGTTGGGGTTTCTCTTATGCCATGGCGATGCTAAGGTTCCCACTTGATAAGCTTGATCTCTATGTCAGTTAACACTCTTCTGAATTGGGTTGTGATAATTGACTTCAGCTTTTTTAATTGTAATATAACCTTTTCAGATTCAGCGGAGGCTTGGGTTATATGAGTCTCCATTCTTCAGGCACCCAAGGCCCATTTCCTACCCTTGTTCTCCAACAACAACAACAACAACAAGCCTTTATCCCACTAGGTGGGGTCGGCTACATGGATTGCAAGACGCCATTGTGCTCTATCATTTATTAAGCTTTTAGAAATATTATTAATTAAGAGATCACGTTCAATAACTTCCAAGAGTGTTCTCTTAGGCCTTCCTCTACCTCTCTTAATCGGACTCAAAGTTATATGTTCCACTCTTCTCACCGGTGCCTCCCTTGATCTTCTTTGTACATGCCCAAACCATCTCAACCGATTTTCTACCATTTTTTCCTCAATAGGTGCCACCCTCACTTTTTCATGTATGTGCTCATTTCGAATTTTATCTTTACGTGTATGTCCGCACATCCATCGTAACATTCTCATCTCTGCTACTCCAACTTTATGCTCTTGCTGTCCCGTTAGAGCCCAGCATTCACTACTATATAACATTGCCGGTCTGATAGCAGTACGATAAAACTTTCCTTTAAGTTTATTAGGCACCTTACGGTCACAAATAACTCCTTTAGCTTTTCTCCAATTAAACCACCCAGCTTGAATTCTATGTGAAATATCTCCACTGATTTCGCCATCATTTTGAATAATGGCTCCCAAATATCTAAACTTTTCCACTTGAGGTATGATTTGATCTCCCAATTTCACTTCCAAATTATTTTCGAATAGTCTTTTACCAAATTTACAATATAAATATTCCGTCTTACTTCTACTCAGACGAAAACCTTTCGACTCCAATGTCCTCCTCCATAACTCAAGTTTGCAATTAACCTCTTCTCTTGTCTCTGCTATAAGAACTATATCATCCGCGAAGAGCATACATTTCGGGATTTCCTCTTGAATATGTTCCGTCAAAACATCTAAACCCTTGTTCTCCATATTTAAAATTTTTGTCTGCTCATTTTTTTTGTCTAGTAATGATCTTTTATGCTTGCATGTTATGTTATTCCTCTACATTATATCAATAATGAGCTTTGCTTCTTTTGGGACTAGGCACAAAATTGTGCTTTGAAGGGAGAACCTTTAATATTTTCACCTCCAACATATTTTTCCTTCAATATTAGTTGGCTCATGCTCTTGTTATAACTTCATAGTAGTCTTTTATATAGCAACTGGATGCGACAGAATACATTCAAATGGGCAATATATTTCAGTGAATTTGTGGTGTATCCTCGCTTATTTGAAACCGTAATGATAATCAGTTATGCCCTAACAATATGATGTTTGAATGCAGATTTCTAAATTTTCTTTGAAGGGTTTTGTTATTGGTGTTCCTTTTGATAGGCAACGAGCTCATAATGAGGTGAGTCTTATTTATTAAATCATTTTTTGTACGACAGATTTTTGCTCTTCCCCTTGTTACAATTTATTCATATTTCTCATCAGGCTGTACTAGTAAAGGCCTTCATAGATGACCTCAGGGGAACGGGAAAGCTTGAAGGTCTACAATTTACATATTGGAATGAACGCTTCACGTCAAAGGTGAATGCACGTGGCTGCTATAACATCTGAGTATGAAATAAAAATTGTAGATTTTGGAGAAGGCACTTGGTTCAGCTAAATAGCTATTTTTTAGTTAGATGAAGCAAACTCCAATTGAGTTTTAATTTAACTTGCTTCTTTCTGTTCATACTTCCATTGCAATAAAAGGAGATGCAAAAGAATCTCAAGGTAAATTGTTTTTTCAGAATGTAGAGTTGCTTCTAAGGGATTTGGATATAAGTCCATTTCAATCCAAGACTATTCTTGACAAGTTTGCTGCTGTTGGAATACTTCAGGTAAAGCTTTTTTTGATTTGCCTTTCGACATCATGTCTTTCATTAACAATAAACTATAGGGACTAAATAGACTAAAGCAACTAGCAAAAAGAAATCTAGTTGATGTGGAACTCTGTTCTCCCTCTCTCTCTCACTCACACACGCGCAAAATGTGTGTGTGTCAGAGATTACACATATCTTCCATGAATTATAGCCTAATTACAACTCTAGTATACAAATTTTAAAATGTTACACTTTTCCTCTTAAACTTTCACAAAAGGGGAAAACGTACCATATCATCTTTCAGCACTTATGATAAAACCAGATCCTGGCGGTTGCAACTGAGGAACCAGTCAAATTGGTTCGGTTGACCTGTAAACCAGTTTAGCTGGTTTGAAACGAACTCATTTGAGGGTCAACCTTTTTTTGTTTGTTTGTTTGTTTGTTTGTTTTGGCACATGCACCCGGTATTTTAGATCCACCCTACTTCATCTATAAGATATATTAGGCTCCAAATCAGCCTGGATCAAGACAGTTTGGACCATTTCAGATGGCAAACTCTATCACCTAGTATTTAATGCAGCTACATTTCCAATTTGAACTCAAAACCTCTAGTTAAGTTAACACAACCTCCTCGCCAAATGAACCAAATGTTCAATGGTGATGGTCAACTTTTTTGAATTTATGTTTTTAAGAATCTTTCCTATAGAACAGTGGAATTTATTTTGGACAGATCTTAAAAATTGGAAATTGAAGGTACCAGGAGAAACTGGGGTTTAAACCAAATAAGAAGAAAAATGAAAAAAAAAAAAACACACACACACACACACACACAAAAAAGGCCTATATTTGGCCATCTTCGGCACTTGCTCTGAATCATGTTCTATCTTTTGGTAGCATCTCCTTCAAGTATTTTGCAAAATTTTGCATTCCTCTTCTATTTGGTCCTGTCTTCTTCCCTCCATTTGTAAATGCTTAGAAAATGTTATTGACTATGTTAATTTTTACCCCCATTTGATAGATGCATTTATCTAGTTTATTACTTTTAAGCCATTTGAAATCGGGATCCCAAGATATTGCCTTTTCGAACTTGTGGGTGTTTCCTTATGAGATTCAATTTCAAGTTCTTTACGCTTGTGTCCTTTTTGCATTTATGTCAGTCTGTTTAGTGATGAACTTCCATTGTTGGATTAGTTAAAATCCCACTTAAATGTTGTTGTTGGTATTTTTAGGGGTACCTGGATTTTGTTAATAGAAGAATGAAGCAGGCCGAAGAACTCGCCAAATAATGGAAGTGCTTTCAAGCTTTTCAACCTTGCGATAAACAAATTTACTTGATTGTAACTTGTCAAAACGTTTTTTTTTTTTTTAAATTCTTGTATATGCTTGTATAAGATGTTTGTGTTCGTCTTGGCTAGATTAGTTTTTGGGTCTTTTAAGTGTACATGAGAGTTTGAATCTTGAACCTTTTTTTTTTATATATATATATATCCTGAATCTTGAACTTTCACCTGCACCTCATCTCACCCTAAATGCACTAAATTAGTCACCTGCTGAACGCATACCTCATTCCATCCTTAACACCACTAAAATAAGGGACTTGGCTTCTCTTCATTTTTTTCCCTCTCCACTTTCTCTCCCCTTCCCATCTCAACCGTTGGATTCATTTTTGAACAGTTGAAATTCGATATTTTATAAAATTATTATTATTCATTTTTTATAAAGTTTTACATTTTAATAATAATTTTATGGAACATTAAATCTCAACCGTTCAAAAATGAATCCAACGATTGAGATGAGAAGTGGAGAGGGGAGAAAATGAAGAGAAGTTAGGTCCTAAAATAAGGGCTTATTTGTTTAAGCTTAACAAAAAATAATTTTGATCAAATTTATTGGGAAAACTTTAATCAAGTGAGGGGTTGTTGTTAGAAGAAAATTTAAGTCTATTTTGATAAATGATTTTAATTAGCTTATCACAATAAGCTAAATTTTTTTTTCCCAACAATTCCTCATGTTTAATTTAGGGTGCTCCCAATAACTCCTCATGTTGTTTAATATTTTTTTGTTAAAATTAAATAAATCGAGGTTAAATCTATTTGTAAGTTGGTTTGGATGGAAAAAATTATGGAGAATTTCTTTAAAAGTTCAGAGATATGATATTATTGCAAATGAAGGTGAAATAAATATGAAATTTCATTGCACAAATTTTGGTTTGAACTGAAATTAAAATGTCAAGAAAAGTAATTAAAATAACCTTATAGAGTTACAATTTTTACTTTATATGATAATTATCTATGGTTACTAGTTAAAATCTTTACTTTACATGTCACTTCCCACAAGTAACATGTTAAAGTAAATATTTTAAAAATTAACAGGGAATTAGCAAGTTACATTATGCATTTAATAAGTACGGTGATTTTTAAATAATTATCAAGTAATGTCAAAAAATTAATATGTAAAATAAATATTTTAACAACTAATTATAAGAAATTAGCAAGTAATACTATACATCTAACAAGTATGATGATTAAGACGGAAAATTATCAAGTAATGTGAATGAATTAACATGTAAAAGTAATGATTTTAACAAGTAACTATGAGAAATTAACATGTAAAGTAAAGATTTTAACTAAAGAAGGTTATTTCAATTACTTTACTTTACATTTTAATTTCAATTCAAATATAAATTTATACGATAAAATTTCATATTTATTTGAGCATCATTTAAAATAATGTCACATTCTTGATTATTTGATGAAGTCCCCCCCCCCCCCCAAAAAAAGTAACAAAAAAAATTATCCCATAAATGAGACGAGGGCTACACAAAAGTTTTCTAGTCCTGTCTAACCTGGTTTGAACACAAACAAAATAATGTGATGAAATTTCATATTTATTTGAGCATCATTTGAAATAATGTCATGTCCTTGATTATTTGATGAAATTGTCTTGAAAAAGAAAAGTAACCAAAAAAAATTCTCCCACAAATGAGGCTAGGGCTACACAAAAATCTACTAGTCTTATTCAATCTAGTTGAACACGAACAAATCTGGTTTGGTCCTGAAAAAAAATGAACTTGAAGGACTAAAAAAATAAAAAAAAGACTAGATTTTATTTTTAGGTTAGCTAGATAGGGAATTGAGATGTCAAATCACTTGTTTCAATTTGGTCTTATAAAATAATTTTAATTTTTTAATATAGTTTAAACTTTGAACCCTAAAATTAGTGTGTTCTCATCATTTTTAGTTTTTTGCTCTCTTGTCTTTAGTGAACCAGCCGAAACCACTTGTATTGTATTTTCACATCAAACCATATTGTGTGGAGTTTGTTTTTGCAACCGTGTTTTAAAATCTGAATCATTTATTTTTATTGAACAGTTTGTTGAATGTTATGAATTTGAGTCCTATGAATTGTAATTGAAATGGTTTTTACTTTTGTTGGAGATTGTTATAGTTTTATTATGATTATCTTTTAATGTTTTGTGATAAATATTATATGATTATAAATATTTTTATTATTTTAATTGATTTTATAATGTTAAAATGAATTGTTGTCTCTCATAGAAGAAGAGAAAAAAAATGAAACATTGGACTATGAAGACTAATCTTCCAATTTCATAGACCAATTTCAATCGTCTTCAACTTTGAATTAAGCCTAAACCAGATCAAATTATCAGTTGCTTAATTAGTCCATTTTATAAAAGAAACCAGACTTTCAGTTAAGTCAAAATATTGTCCTTTTAGTATTTTGTGTAGCCCTAATTATACACCATGTTGTGTAAAGAGTATAGGATAAGTGGACCTCCTATTTCATTATATCAAGGCTAAAATATAAATTAGATTGTTTATAAAAATATTTTATACTATTTATAACCTGCAAATGGTGTAAATTATTATAAATTTCATTTCAGTAAATTGATCAGCAAAAGATTCATGTATTTTAATAGGTTACATGAATTTTTGAGCAAATTTGTCAGTAGTTCCCAGATAATAAAGTGGCCAAATAACAAGTGGCTGACCTTTTCTTGCATTTGAGAAATTTTTGTAACTGAACTTTGGGATTATATTTTGTTAGAATGAGGTGTGGTATATTACTTACGGCTTATGAAATATTATTTCTTCCTGATCACTATCTCATTAAAACATACACTCCTAACTTTACATTTAATTGTTATTTAAGACTGTGGCACGTATATTTAGGTAGTTTTGGTTAATATAAAATAATATACAGAGATTAATACACTCTTATATACTTCCCTTTATTTCCGATGAAGTAAATTAAAAGAGAGTAAGTAGTGGATAAGAGAGGGAGGAAAAGATGGTTTTAGCAGATGATGATAAGTTGAAAAGAAAATTAATCATGCTATGGAGTTGAAAAAAGCACGTTAAATATGTATACATGAGTATCTGTTAAGTATATAATTTTTTCTCTAAATATAAAAGCACTATTTATAAACTGGGAACAGCATGGATCGCTTCAAGTTTTGTGTGCGAAATATATAAAAAATTTATACTAACTTTTAGGGGAAATTATATTAAAAGATTAAAAGATTGAACTAAGCTTAAATAAGGATCAAAAGATCTAGACATTTAAAATTAAGACAAAGTGTCCTTTTGTTAATTTGTCTAAACGTTTGTTACTTTTGTTCTATAATTTGCAACTCTTAAAACAAAAATTTACAAATGAGATTTGTTCACTTTTTAAGGAAAAATTTATCAAATATATCATTAATTGAAGATCATTTTCCTTTACAAATTAACAGATCTTACGTGCAAATCACTAGAAATGATGATACGTTTAACAATTTTCTTGTTCAAATTAACGAATTTCACTTGTAAATTCATATTTCAATGGTTATAAATTATGGAATGAGAGAATTTTTTTTAAACCAATTCACTAAAAAATATTTGATCCTTATTTTGAATTTTCAAATCTTTTGATACTTATTCAAGTTTAACTTATTATTTTTTATTGTTGATAAATATCTATCTATTAGAAGCAGTTATGTTCAAAGCAAGGCCAAACTTTAAATATAGACATTTTTTAAAATAAAATTTAAATCTTAGTTCACTTTGTTGTGAAGAAATAGTTTTTTTTATTAAACCTGATCCTGGTGATTAATTTCATTCTTTTGACTGTTCAACGCTTTAATTATTAGAATTTATGGATGAGTAAAAAGTAGGGAAAATGTTTATAATTTAGTAATTAAAGTAAAATCTGAATATGTTGATGTTTCATTGAATGTAAAATTAATCTATTTATATTGTCAACCAAGGTTGATTAATCTACAAATACTTTTACAGGTACTCTCTAAGGATTTAGCTTGCGCCGTAGTAGATGATAAGCACTATCTCTTAACATATTTGAAGTTGTGAGACTTGTCTTGAGTAAACTTTTGACACCTACTTACCCAGACTTTTATACATAATACGCACGTTTGTATTCTAAAACAAAAACCTACAAAAATTAGCCGGGGAGAGACAATTCCACAAGCCCTGCTTGAGTCATATTCATGCATTGCTGAAAATTTATTTCTTTTCTTGTTAATATTTATATAAGCTATGAAAATGTATCAGATTGAATCATGCTCGAGTGTAACTTTCCCACAATAATGATATCCGAGCCTAGAGTGGTGTTCAAATCTGACTCAAAATAAATAAATAGATAAATAAATAAATAAAGCGTGGTGTTCAAATAAAAGTAAAAAATAGTGACGTTATAAGTAAAGCTGGTCTTGGATTCAGTCTCATGCCACTTAACCTACCATTTTTAGGTTATCATCCATCACTTCAATAGGCAAATGGATAGAAAAATTGATAGTTTAATTGATAAAAATTTAATAAATAATTTATAGAAATATGAAATCAAATTTTATTATTAATATAAGAATTTTATTAATAAATAATGTATAAATACATTTATAAATATTTTTTAAATTTAAAAATATATTCAGATTTTAATGAGCTACCGAATTGGGTTCAATATTCAACTCACCTAAATTATTTACCACAAAAAAAAAAAAAGCAAAATGGATAACGATGGTCATGAGCACAGCAGAAAATAATGATGGAGGGGAAGGGTGGGAATTTTAAAAAAAGATTAAGGATAATTTGGACATAAAAATGAGTTTTTTAGGAAAAGCAGTGATACTTTATATCCTGAATATTATAAAAGTATTTTTAACATTACATTAAACATATATTTAAAATATACATGTTTTTTTAATGAAAAAATAGAATAAAAAAATAGATTATATTCAGGATATAAATTTTATATTTTATATCGATGGTATATTCCCACCAGTCCGCCATATAAGGCATCATAACTACTTCGTTGTTTTAACAAATTAGTTAAAATAAAAAAAATTAATCTTTTAATCATTTAGCTTTAATTTATTTATAACTCAATCCCTTAATTATGACTCGCTGCGATTTAATCCCTCAACTTTTGATTCACCTATAATTTAATCCTTATTTTTTAATTTTTTAAAAATTTTTTATCAAATAAAAGGGATAAAAATGCTCATACATTATTTTAAAACACCTTTCTCTTACTCATTGAAGTAAGATATAAGCTAATATGAAAAGAAATTAACAAAAGTTTAGAGTCTAATTTGTAAGTGATTCAAAAGTTGAGAGACTGAGTTTTAAGCGAGTCATAGTTGAGGGACTGAGTCATAGTTAAGGGATTGAGTTACAAGTAAATTAAAAGTTGAAGGACCAAAAGATCATTTTTTTCTAAAACAAATATAATCTTTTTAAAAATTGTTTATCCTTTTAATTATATTTTTTAGTGAAATAAATATAATATTTAATTTATTTAAACTAATAATAATTAAAGTTTCAATTAATATTTTTAAAATAAATAATAAATAAAGTAATTGAGTATTAATTAATATTAATGATTATAAAAATCTATTTCATTTTGTTTTTTCGGTAGTAGTAGGATTGTTTTGTTACTGGTAAAAAAAAAACAAAAGGATTGTTTTGTTGTATTTTATATTCTATTCAATCTCCATTCCGCCAAGCTGGCTTCTTAACGCAAAAATACATTTTTTTCTACTGGGACACGAAAGAAAAGCTCATATTTAACTATTTTTAATTCACTCTTGCTTCTCAAGTTCCGGCTTTCCTCTGTCTTTTCCTCCTACTCCTTTTCCTTTTCCCTTTCCTGCATTATCTTGCAAAGCCCTAGATTTGGAATTTAGGGTTTTGTTTTCTCAATGTGTTTATGCATCATTTAGGAACTGCCAGCTTACCGGCTTAAGTTGTGTGTGTTGTTGTGAGCCTCTGATGTTTCTGCATTTTCCCCCAAGGTCAGCTCTAGTCATGAGTTTCTAATGGTGACACTGTTTGAGCTCTGAAATCTCTTCTCCCCTTTCTTCTCTGGCTTAGAAGTGTCTGTTACGGGGGTTCTATAGATATCTCTCTAAACAAAACCCTCATGAAACTCTTGATTTTGGCATACATTTGATAAAATCTGAGCTTCTTAATTTAACATCTGGGGTTGTTGAGTCTGAGATCCCTTTTGTTTTACTCTTTGCTCTGTGATTAAAAATTTAATTTTCTTAGTGAAAGTGTTAGCTTTTAACAGCATAAGGTGAAATCCTGGTAAAATCCCTGTTTTATGTCTTCAGCTGCAACTGAGTTCTGGTTCATAGCTCAAGAAGTTTGAGTCTTCTAGTAGATTTGGGAGCATAAGTAGTGTATTAGTCACAAATCTTTTAGTGAATGCATGGATGGGAGAGAGGCTATGGCATTCTCTGGAGGTCCCCCTTCATATTACATTCATAGAGGAGGCATTGCTGGGTCTGTCTCTGGAACACATTCTGGAGGGTTTCAAGTGCCTCCTGGGTTCAGACCAAACACCAGCATTCCAGTACAGTCAAATGTACGAGGTAGCTCTATGGTTTCTACAGTTACAGTAGAACCTACCAATTATAGTCATAATCATGGCATTAGCATTAGTTCGTCTCCTGGGGTACCTCCTTCAAGCGAGCGTGTGAAAAAGAAACGAGGAAGGCCCCGTAAATACCGTCCTGATGGACCAGTTTCTCTGGGTCTGTCTCCCGTTTCTGCCACTGCAAATTCTACCCCTGCATCAAGCACTCCAGCCCAGAAACGAGCTAGAGGGCGCCCACCTGGAAGTGGAAGGAAACAACAATTAGCTGCGCTAGGTATATTTTGTGAGAATTAGTGCATGTAAATACTCTTCACATATTGTTAAAATATTGGATCCATTACTTATACTGGTGATTTTTTTTTAAAATTAATGTCTTTTTTATATATTTTTTCCTATTCTTTGCAAGTGGGCTGGGTAGCCTGGGCAGTTTTCCCACCCTACAATTTAGCTTAATTTGCTGCTGTTATTTGGTAGTGATGAATTTTGCAAGATCCTAAGCAAAACAGGGTTGTGATACATGTAGCTCCTAAACAGATAGATGACTGTAATTTGAGGTATTTCTGTGGAAATAAGTGGCTATTGTCATGATTTTGGAGTCTAAGCTTGCGTGTTTCCACTGCAATACTTGATCTCGTGGCAGTTCATGGTTACAATTTTAGATTTAAGAACCATGAAATATGACACTGAAGTCTTCATTTTTCCCCTTTAATTTTTATGCAAATGTTTCTTGATCTTATTAGTGATAGTTTCTGATAAAAAGTCATTTCAGATTTTTATAATTTTATTATTTGTGCTCCTAGGTGAATGGATGAACAGTTCAGCAGGGATGGCTTTTTCACCTCATGTTGTCATGATTGGAGCTGGGGAGGTAGATAAACTCTTCCACTTAGAAAACGTTTACCACAAAATGGTTATTCTATTTATAAAAGTTGCTTAAAGTAATTTGGAGAAAATAGCTATTTAAACATGTAACGTGTTACTTGCTGATTGCATGCAACACAGATAATACTCAGTGGAAACCTTTTAGATCAATCTCAATTTTTAAGTGATTAATTGTTATGCTATTCACCATGGACACATTGAAGATTGTTGCTTTTTAACACACGCTAGTTGGGAAGTTCCTCAAACAATAGTTTTAACTTATTTCAGGACATCGTAGCAAAGTTACTGTCCATTTCACAGCAGAGGCCAAGGGCACTGTGCATCTTGTCAGGAACTGGGACAGTTTCATCAGTTACTCTGAGGCAGCCTGCTTCTACCGTTGCCAGCATCACTCTTGAGGTTAGAACACTAAACCACAGTACTTAAACCTTTTTGTTTAGTCTCTTTTGTTTCTCTGTTTAGGCATGTAGTGTGAATGTTGACACATTGGTCTTTTCTATGAATGCCATATAATAAGTCTTTTGACGTATAGATACCTCCTTCAAAACATGGAATTCCTCCTGTAATTTATCATTATTTGGTCTTAATTGGCACTCCTTCAGAAAGGTGTGTTTTGTTAGTCTCTAACTCCCCCGTTCCTTTCAACCCCATTTTAAGTATTTAATTTTTGTGGGATTGTGAAGTGGCTGCTTCTGCTGCACTATTTTCTTTTTCTCTTTCCCTTTTTTTTTTGGGGGGGGGGTGGGGTTCTAAAAACTATATGTTCTATTTTTATCCACTGCATTACTAACCTTGTGGTAAAACCATGGATACATGGTGTTTAGGATTTGCTGTATTAAGTGAGTTGGTTAAGTAATGGTTCTGTATTGGTTTATAGCAATAGATTTTAGGTGGCTGAAATGAACCATTGACTGCATGTCATTATCGTACGTTCTCTTGAAATATTTCAGCTGAATGTCTGCTAGATCATATCAATCACATTGGCGCTGCTTTAAGTGCAAATGATGGTTTTCATAATGCCTTCAGAATTTATTCATATTCTTTCCATTGCAGGGCCGATTCCAAATATTACGCTTGGCTGGTTCTTACCTGGTTGCCGAAGATGGTGGACACCGCAATAGAACAGGTGGTGTGAGTGTCTCCCTTTCTAGTCCTGAAGGTCATGTTATTGGTGGTGGGGCTGCTGTGCTTGTTGCTGCAAGCCAAGTGCAGGTATATCCTTGGCCGCGCTAGATTCTACCCCATAAGAACGTTTTGTTCCTGTTTGATCTTTTTTGCAAGCATGGTCTTGCTCTTATGGCTAGCTGTTGTGTTGTTTATTCTGGTACATGATAGGATGCTTTGCATCTAAAACAAAACAGCAATAATTTTTTTTTCTTTTAAATGGCAATAGAAATGTAGCTTTTCTTCTTCGTATAACGGGGAACGCTTTGATGCAGGTGGTGGTGTGCAGTTTTATATATGAAGGGTCCAAGACCAAGACTAAGCAAGTGAGTACCTCTCAGGGCGATGTTTCTGAAGCTGAGCATGATAACAAGTTAGCTACTCCAGCAAGTGCTCCGCCATCTCAAAACTATAATCAACCAACAAGAGGCATTTGGCCATCTGATCTAAAAAGTACACACACTGGTATTGATTTGATGCGTGGATAAAAATATTTAGTTTTGAATAGACATTGCAGTTTTGTATAGCGCGTAGATATAACTTGTGTGTTGTTTGTAAATGAACTGGATTTTCGAGCATTGTATGAAGCCATTGACGATTGCCAGGCTTGAACTAACAATTTATTACTGTAACAGATCCATGATTTTCAGGGTTAATTGACTGTCTGGTAAGCATAAGATGGATGCAAATGTTTACTTGAGTGAAAACTGAGCTATGTTGGCTGAAAAGTTCTTGGATTCCACTTCGAGGGTCCTATTTTCAAAGTTTTATTGTGAAAAGTCGTTTCTCCCGCTATTGGTTGATCTTGAGATCAATTATTAGGCTTTCATTGACCTACGCTCTTCAAACTTGTCCTTGAGTGGACAAAGACATCACATGCTTTAAAGTTTAAATTTAAAGTTGCCACTTGCCAAACCAATACATGATTATTGCAGAGTGTAAGTTGACTTTCTGAGAATAGTGTCCGCCAAAATAATTTGTCCAAATGTTTAATAATCTAATTTGGTAAAATGATAGTCGTAGTCTCATTCCTCATCAATTCAGAATTTTTATTTTTAATAATTTATTCCGTTGAAATAATTGTGAAGCCAATTTACCCTTGTAGCTATTAAAATTATATCCTTTTTAAGATTAACATGGAAAGTAATAAGACACATTAAAAGAAAAAGAATGACAACGAAATCGTTTAGAGAATGCAGAATGGTTTTTAATTTAAATCCTCTAAGAATAATAATATTCATGAATTTGCAAGAAGTTTTTCGCTTTAGTATTTTCTTTCATTTCATTATTCTTTATAAAATATAATTTTTTTCCTCTTTATTAAAAAGATAAATTTTAAGAAATTCATGGATTTTAAATTTTAAAGAATTCATTCCCAATAGTTTTACCACCAGATCAACAAAAAACGTCTTCAGCAGCATCCCCTTTCTTCTCTTTGTAGCTCATAGTTCTTTTTCAGCCTTTTTTATGTCAGCACTTCATTTTTTATTTTTTTTTGTTGATTGAAAAGTGAATCAGAGAACCCAACAAGGATTGCATCAAAATAGAATTAAGAGAAAACTTCTACTTATCATCTGCCACCTTAACACAATAAGGTGGAGGTTGATAAAAAATAAACCAAACACCTAAGTGATCTTGGGTGTTACTAGTTAAAAAGAGGGTACAAAAATTTGCCTCTTTAAACATGAAACTCACAGAAACAGACCACTCTCTACACAACATGTTAATCTCATTAATAACATCATGGAATGAATGTTGGGTATTATTACTACAATGAATGAGATTGAGGGCCTCTACATAGTCAGTGAATGCTTTGACCTTACAATACCCCCATTCCTAGCAAAGATGAAGACCAAAATAGATACCAAGTAGCTCAGTTAGAACCAGAGGGTATGTACAAACACAAATATTAAATCCTCCAACTTAGTTTGCAGAGTTATCTTTGATAACTCCCCTGCATCTTCTTATATTGTCATGAACCGATCCATAAACATCTAATATGACATCTCCTTCGTCAAGTTTGAATCAAGTCTCTAGGCCTCTCCTCTCTTGCTTACTATGACACATGTAAAATACTGAGATCTGACCTTGCTTTTTGCAGGGCAGCAAAGCTCGACCCTATCATCTCCAAGTCATCTTGATCAAAGGTTTTCTTACATCTATTGCACCAAATATCCTAGCATATATAGCCACATAACATCATATAGTACTTGTTCTATACAATCTTTACCCACGTTGTGCCTGGTTCCATAAGATCTATTATTCTCTATTGAAGTTCTTGAAACAACTCCAAAACACTGACTTAATGAGCCACCTCCAACAATCCTTGGCATGAGGGCAGTCCTTGAGTAGATACATCACTTCCTTCGACTCAAGGTAGCCAAAAGGGCATCTGCTTGTCGCCAATAGGTCTCTCCTAGCCCTTAAATCAATAGTATAAACTCTATTATTTGCCATGAGCCAAAAGAAGATCTCAATCTTCTTTGAGCCCTTCTGTCTCCAAATTTTGCTCCAAATGCCACCTTTTGGATTGTTCCTATTTGCAAAAAGAAAGTTATAGGCATAGCTAATATTAAAGTTATTATCATTTGAAAGTCTTCATATAAAAATATCCTCTCCGCTCTCAACTCTTGGAATAGGAGTGCAAGCAATTTTGTGGGTAGTGTGGCTAGGGAGCCAAAGTTCCATCTTTCTCACATCCCATCTCCCATTTGCCAAAACAAAGTCGGCAACATTTTCACTTACATAATAAGAATTGTCAAAAGCAAGATGAGCAAGTGGTACACTCGAATAAGACCAATTATCAATCCAAAACTTCAAAGTCAAAACATGTCTAACCCATTTTTCAATTCCTTCAATAAACTTCCTTGAACATTCAAAAATGCTCTACTGGAACGTGTTATCATATAGTGATTGAGCGATTGAGATTTACATCAAATGAGAAGTACTTCAATGTGTTGACCTACTTGCACGTGAAGCCCGTGGAATGCGTTCTGCTACTATCTTGATTTCATTTGTACCTGCTAATTGCTTAGGCATAGTTAGAGATGACTTTCATCATTTCTTTGATAGACATGGCCAGTAGGACCTAAATCTCCTTGTTCCTTTATTTTCTTGCTCGCCATCTTATTTCAAAAAAAGAAAATGCTCTGTCAAGTAAGTGAAGCATTAGATTGTTTCTTAACCCCCAACACATTACCATGGCCATATTTGTACTTAGACTTGACCACTCTAATCCACAAGGCAACGTGATTATGCAACGTTTTCCAATATAATTTGAACATGAAAGCCTTGTTTTGCTTCTCTAAATCCTTAATAACTAAACCCTCATTCTTATTTTCAAGGATTACATTCCAAAACATGAGTTGAATCTTCTATTTACCATCGACCCCTAGGAAGCTTGAGATATCAATTTCCCCCCTTAAAAAAACAAATTGGTTCTTTTGTTTCATATAAAGCAAAAAATTTTGCAGTGGAGCACTAACCACTCTTCACATTTATTCTCACAAGGCAAGATCATGTGCTTTTAGGAAATTAAATTGCTTAGGCACTTACAAATGATAAGCATGTTCCTTGAAATCTGTTTTCGATAACATAAACTAGGCCAAATTCAACATGCACTATTAATAGCTAAAGGATTCTAAGCTAACTCTTTATTTAGTCAGTACAATATGTTGCATGTGTAGATAAACATATTTCTTTTTCAAGTAAATATAAAATAAAGGGCTAAGGATCATTTTTATCCCTAACCTGTACACAAAAAGTTACAAATATTCCTAAACTCAATCATAGATCAATTTTATCCTTTAACTTTAAATATTTTCTCCGTCATCACTTTAACATTAAAAATACTTAACATCCGTTAATCATTAGTAGCTTCCACTATTTTTTAACATTTTTTATCAAGTTAAGGGTTGTTTTTACCCCTTAACTTCTATTCGAAGGGTCATTTTAACCCACAACTTAAATATTTTATAATAAAAAAATATAATGTGGAGTTCACTAAAGATTTACTAACGGTGAGAAAACAGCAAAGTGATAAGGAAGAGAACATTTAAAATTTAGGAAAAAAATTGATCCATAATTGTATGTAGGGGCATTTGTAACCTTTCGTGTATAGTTTAGAAATAAAAATGACTCTTAATCCTAACATTAATGCACAACAACAACATCCAGGAAAAGCCAAAAGTTCTTCGTCATATGAGATGCTTGACAGTTTACATTCAACATGATCTCTTCCAAGTTGAATTCTTGCATTCATATAATGCCCAAAAGCTTTTCGATGTCCCGCTGCAATACGAAACAGATGCCACAAGAATTACGAAAACTGAATAAATTCTCTTTAAGAGATATCTCTCAGTAAATAATAATAGAGGCAGCTTATGCATGATCTTTTTGAGTTATGAAACAGGAATATTACGAAGAGAATAAAGGGTTTTTTACTTCAAGGCTGAGAGGAGAAGTTATGGGATAATAGCGACCCACGGCTTGGCCATTCTTATCAACTAGAAATTTGGCGAAGTTCCACTGAATATTATCCCCAATAATTCCCCATTGGCAAGACTTTAAGAACTTATACAGTGGCGCAGTATTGTCACCATTCACTTCAATCTAATCCAAAAACAATAGGACACAGTTATATAATCCTGTACAGGTCACAGTTTTTAGAAGTTGCAGAAATCAATGAAGGATGATACTGATTCCTCACACTGTCTAGTTAGATACAACTAGCCAAGTGATATTTTAAGTTCCTTGTTGAGCAGAGCAAAGCAATTCAGAACAATTAGTGTCATGTTTAATGCTAAGCTTGCCCAGTACAGTCATTGGAATAAAACGCAGCACTGGTTCTGACAGAAACAAACAGTAGAAAGCAAACCAAGACATAGAGCGATTCATGCCTGTTATTTATAGTAGTCTTTTTTTCACCGCAAAAACATAATTGACACAAAGTGAAAAGAAAGCTTTCCTTTTTGAGCTGCAACAGACTTGTATATGAACCTACCTTATCAAAGATGGGGAATTCTGATTTGAAGCGAGTGCAGACAAAATCCACGATTTCATTATTGCTTCCAGGTTCTAGTGCACCAAACTGATTGCATGGAAATCCCAGTATCTCGAGACCTAAATGAACCCTTACAACCCAATCACTTACATTGATTGTTACTAATAGACACTGAAAGGAAAAATGATTATCAAGGTGAAGCAGTATAATATCAATCTCCAAAACAGTGCTCCTTCACAGATTATAGAGGTTTTACACAATCCGAAATCGTACAAGCGACCTGATAAATAGACATCCTAATTTTACAAGTACTTTCAATATTTTTGGGTAGTGTGTATATATTGGTGTGTGTGTGTGTGTGTGTGTGTGTAAAGAAAAATTTCCGTGTTGGTTATGGCATAGCTAGAATTCAAAATTTTCATATATTTTATTCTCAAACAGGATTAGTTACTTACGAAAACAGTTTCTTTACCACTTCACCTACAACCCCAGCACAGTATTAACAAAGAAAAGAACTGAAGAGCAACCAACAGATAACTTCGAAATATATGACCAAGAGATGAAGTTAATAGGTCAAATTTTCACATCAAATTAAACAGCATCTGCAGACTGTGAGCTCAGTTAAGTATATCCTTTTCACTTGTGCTAAAATCATGACTGTTATAGTCTGAAATGACAAATATGAACCAATCAAAGAGTTCAAGCTACAAACCTTTATCTTTATACTTCTCATATAATTGATTAAGCTCCGTATAATTGGAGTTGGTCAAGCCACTGCCTCAATCCCAAACAATGAACAGCAATAGTAAGATAAGGAAGACTAGAAACCAGATATCATAGCTTCAAAAATAATGTAAGGCGTAATAAAAGACATGAAGAGGCAGAAAATAATAACAAGAAGGCAGGGATACCATTGGGAAGCAACATTGACAATCAGCAGGACTTTTCCACTGTAAGTAGCAAGGTCAACATCATTGCCCTTAGCATCCTGCAAGCAAGCATAAAGAATGGCAACAACATTTAACCATCACATTTCCATATGATATTTATTTGCCTAATACAGATGTCATCATCTTCAATCAAGTTAAAGTTTCATTTACTCTTTTGCAACATGCATATCTGCGAAGGATACTCAATTGAGCTTGAAGTTTGCTGCCATATTCAAATGCTTTGTTAACCTTAACGGATTCTTCAGAAAAACAGAAATGGCCAAAAGACTGCCAGATTCTTTAGTTGGGAAACCATGTCAAATTTTTATCATGGAAATCCGAAATTCAAGGGTATCGGCATTCAGAATCTTTCAATGGGAGGTCTGTCACAACGAAAAAACGCAGTTTGCACCTCTACTGTAGCTCCAGAAACAAGTTACTCAGCTTCAAACATATAACAGAGGCGTTGGTTGACTTTATTATTAAGCCATAAACAACACATGGTTCTCAAATTTCAAGTCCTGGAACTGAACCTCATACTGTTTTGGTACTCAGTACTGTATCAAAGACCGGGGGGGACCCGGCGAAGAAGTTCAAATTGAAGATATAAGATAAACGGATTGGTCAATCCAAAGAAAGCGAAAGCATGAGCAAGAGTATCTGGAAAAGACTAAAGCGACAATAGGGATCATGAGATAACCGAACTAAGAGCCTAACCTTGACAACAAAATCGAACACGGATTTTGGATTCGTGGCTTCGGTAGTCATGGCGTGCAGCTGGAGAACACAAAAACTGAGAAACCAAAAAGGCCGAAACCAATCAATGAACCAAGCTGCAGCCTGGATGTGCGTTATTAGTATAAGCACGACTTTTCCCCGTGAGATTCCCATGCAAATAAGGTCAGGGAGAATGAAAGTTAAGGTTTTTTTTTTTTTTTTTAAGTACGAGAAAGTTAAGTCTCTAATAATTTTTTTAAAAAAATAAATTATAAATATTAATTTAAATAGTTATAAATTAAAAAATTTTAATTCTAAATATAATATTTAAATTTTAAATATAATAATTAATTTAAATTTTAAAAATTTATTTATAATTATTTAAATTAATATTTATAATTTATTTTTTAAACTTCATTGTCATACTCCTAAGGTTAATGCTTTGATGTGCCATATCATCGTCATTGAAAATTTGAAATGCATATCTTTGTCCTTTTCTATAGTACATATCTGGATAAATAAATTCATACAAACTATTTTTAACTAAGACTATACAAAAGTCCTTCAGTTCATTATAATTCGGTCCAACTCAAGACAAATCTGATCATATTTGATCCAGATAAAAATTGATCTTTCAGGATTAAAAAATCAAAAAGATCACACTTTTTTTCGGGTTGAATTGGACAAAAAATTGAGCATCTGAATCATGTGGTCCGATCTGATCCTATAAATTTATTTAATATATTTATAGTTAATTTATTAATTATTATTATAATAATTTAATTTGTAATAATAATTAGCAATTTTTGTTTTATACTTATAAAGTCATAAATATTAAACAAAATTTTAGCATTGACCAACCTCAATCTTCTCCTTTTATTAGTAAAATTTGTTATTAATTTGGTGTAATGAACTTTAGACATGTTGAAAGTTGTTTAATGTTGTTGAAGTTTGTTTAATTTAAATAATTTGTGTTGTAATTGAAATATTTTATGTTATTGCTAGAAATTGTTGTAAATTTATAATTGTTATTGTTGTGATAAATTTTATATAACTCATTTTATTATGTTAAAATAAATTGCTACCTCTCATACATTAAATAAGAAAATAATAGTGAGATGCTAGACAAGATTGAGATTAGTTTCTTAATCCTACTAGACTAGTTCAATCTTGTTCAGTTTTAAGTTATATTATTATTAGGAACAGACTAGATCATAAGTTACTTAATTCAATCCTTTTCATGAAAAAAATTAAACTTCAAGTTAAGCCAAAATTCTGTCGGGTCAATAGCAACCCTATTTTTAACCATCAATGTGTGTGTATATATTTATAACATTTCATCAATAAAAATCTCTACCTATACTCTGAGCTGACCCGAAATATCTCACCAATATTCGCACACGTTTTGACATTATTAAGTTTCGACTGGTGTTTCCCGTGCAAGAGTCTTGACAAATTTAAAAGAAAAAATGTGAATTATTTTTTATTTTAACTTATTTAGAAATAGTTTTTCTTAAACAATGTTCAAAGAGGTACAAATTTTAACATTAAAAAGTTTAAAATAAAATTTAGCATAGATTTAAAAAAATAAAATAATCCTTTTAGGCTAACTGAAGTGATAAGAATGAGATGTAAGTTAAAGTTCAAAGCCGGTCAATTATTCAAAAAAAGAATTTAAAAGTATATGTTTTTTTTTAATTAAGTTCATCCCTAAAATTTCATTTTTGATAATGACCATACGATGCAAAATAATACAATTATTATAATTAATAAATATGTTTGTTTTAGTATTGTTCATAGCGTATGTAACAGGATGTAAATTGAATAAATAAAGAATTAAGGGGGAAAGCAAATGATATGCCACCACCAATTATCCCATCAAAATAGATGGTATGGGCATCCCCAAAACAACACAATTTAAAATTTATATCTTTAGAAGCCATATTTTTTCATTGTTCTACCTATACTATAGTTTTACTTTTTATCATTTTTCTTTTATGTTGTGTCTTTCTGGGATAATTAGACACTAACCACATGCAACCATAGCTATACTTGAATGTCTACATCCACTATTGGCGTTTTTCTTTATACATACATTAATTTAAGGGTTAATAATTTAATTATAATCGAGCACCCCAGTTATAATTAATTTAATATTTTTAAATAATATATAAAATTATAAAAAATAAAAATTATAAATTATTTATAATTAATATTTAAATTTATTTAAAAAATAAAAATATATTTAGTTGATTTCATCCTCTCCATTTTCTAAGGGCATGAATAACATAGATATTTTCATAAATATCAAATAACACATGAGAATATCAAACAAGACTTATACATTTAGCCTTATATATTTAATATAATTTTATCCAAACAAATAAAAAAAATATTTTAATGTGTTGCTAATATTAGTAACAAAAATTTATTATAAAATAAATAATCTATAAATAATACACATGTCTTGATTTAATTAAAAATAAGCACCTTAAATATATAATATTAAGTATGTAAGTTTTTTCCCATTTGAAATTTTTTTCAAAATCTTTTATCCTAAGCTAATGGTCTAGATCTATTAAATGTAGAGGAGTATAGACATTCACGTCGTATGAAAATCAAGGAAAACATTTCACATTATAACAGTAATTCAATTTTTTCGCACGAAAAATAATAGTGTCGTTTTTTTAACCGTGGCCCACTTTTTACCTATTCTGTAAGGAAGCATTTTGTTCCTTTTTTTTTTTTAATACATTTTGTTCCATTTTTTTGGCCATTTCAAAATAGAAAACAAATCAATATAGCATCGCCTCTTATATCTGCATCTCTTTTCTGAACAGCCATCACTCAACTCCTTTCGTTCTTTAAGCTTGAAGCCAATATCCGAAGACAGGATAAAATCGAAAAATAGGATGGTAGCTAATTTCCAGTCACGGATAAGATTGAGAGTCTCATCCAGCCGCGGATAGAACAAAAGAGGGAAGGAGTTTTGAATTTTAAGTTCTTTTACTAAGGTTTCGAAGATTTGAGCCTTGAGTCATTGGGTGGTGTTTTGTATTTTTGTTAAAAAAAAAAAGAACAATTTCTTCACTTATTTATGTTTACCAATAAACATGAGGGAAAATCAATCATCCTTATTTTAAAGAAAAGCAAAAAAGTTACAAGTCAAAGAAAATATACATAGATCAAAGATGGGGGGCAAATATACTCAAAGTCTTGACACATAAATGTACATTAACAGAGGAAGTACTTATTTATTAAAATGTCATAGTTCGCGGTATAAACATGTCCCTTTCGCAGGTAAGACCACACATTCATCATCATCACATACATCCACCATCCCCTCTTCCAAGTTGCATATAAGCAGCAAGGTCAACATCATTTCCCTTAGCATCCTGCTCCAGCAAGCAAACATAAAGAATGGCAAGGAAATTTAACCATCACATTTTCATATGTATGATATTTAGTTACCTAATACAGGTATTAACTCTTTCAATTAAGTTAATTAGTACTGTTTCAATCTCTCATTTGCAACGTGCATATCTACAATTCCACTGTGCCTTCAGAAACAAGTTCCTAAGTTTCAAATAGATTAAAGAAAGCTTTCACTTTGTTATAGACAATCAAAAGACCAACCTTGACAGCAAAATCGTGCACGAATTTTGGATTAGGGGGTTCGGTACTCATACCCAAGATCACTCAAAGATAAGAGAAATTCAAAAACAATCAATAAGCCAAGGTGCAAGTTCGTGGATTATTATATGTACGAGAATGAGTATTCCCTAAGAGATTCCAGTGCTGAATAAGTCAATGCATTATCGTACCATGCATGTCTCAGTATTAAAATGAATGGGTCGTACCATGCATGTCTCAGTATTAAAATGAAAGGGTCTTTCTTTTACAGTAGATGATGCCATGATTGATGTTACGTACCAACTGCTCACGATTATCATAGAGAAATTATTCTTAAAAATATGTACTTAATTTACCGACTACCTAAATTTATCAAACTTATGCGCATCCACGTCATAATCAAAATTAAATTACATTATTTGATTATATCAACGTTATCATATTATTGAAAGCTGACACTTGTTCCAATACCTCCATTACAAGTGGCAAGTTTGAGCAGGATACATGTTTTGCCTTCAATTGACCGATTTTTCATGTAGTAAGACTTGGGAAAATTTGGATTATCTTAAAAAATTTTATTTATTTATTTTCAACATGTGCACTTGCCGAAAGAAAACATCGAAACTACCATGTCGTAGATAAGCTTTGGATCATAACATCGTGTAAAAAGCTAAAAACAACTTGTTAGAGTTGGGAATTAAGATTGGCCAAGAGTAAAAAGATTACATTTAAAAATCTCAAAAATACTTTAAAACTATATTTTTCGAAGCCCGGCCTTGGCTCTTAGAACTAAAGGGTTAGGTTCTTTTGTTTTTTAAAATTTAAATACTTAATAAATATATTGATAAAAAAAAATATTACACACAAGATTAAGTATAGAAAAATAGATTTAAATAAACCCACAACAAACCAATAACACAGCAGCGTCATCTAATTATGAGACTTAAGTATCGATTCAACCAAATAATTATCTAGTTTAGACTTGTCCATAGAAAAATAATCTACACTCATTTAAATATTTTAATATTCTTGCATTATACTCCCTCCATCTCAAATTGTAAGATATTTTTAAAAAAATTTGGTGTTCTAAAATATAAGACAATCTTATAAAAATAAGATTTTATTAAAAATGTTCAGTTATAAATGCAAAAAGGTTTGGTTATAAATACAATTAAACGGATGAATTTTTCAATAATATTTAGCTTTTTGAAATGCTTGTTGATAGTTGAATAGGGTGGTGAATTCTCACATTATTGCATAAACGTGCCAACGTTCATAACTTTTAAGCTTGGTTATCAATAGAAAAATGTTTAGTTATAAATGAAATTAAATGAATGAATTTTTTAATGACATTTGGCTTTTGGGAATGTTTGTTGAATGTTGGGTAGGATGATGAGTTCTCACATCATTCCAAAACTGTGCCCAAAGCTCATAACTTTTAAGTTTGATTATAGATGCAAAAAAAGTTTGGCCATAAATGCAATTAGATGGATGTATTTTTTTTATTGATATTTGGCTTTTTGAAATGCTCGTTGATAGTTGAATAGGATGGTGAGTTCTCACATTATTGTGGAACCATGCTGAAAGTCCATAACTTTCAAGTTTAGTTATGAATGCAATATATATATATATATATATATATTGATTATAATGCAATCAAATGGATAATTTTTTTTAATGATATTTGACTTTTTGAAATGCTTGTTAATAGTTAAATAGGATGATGAGTTCTTACTTCATTCCAAAACTATGCGGAAAGTTTATAATTTTTAAATTTGGTTATGAATGCAAATAAGTTTAGTTATAAATATGATCAAAGTGATAAATTTTTTAATAATATTTAGCTTTTTAGAATGCTTGTTAAAAGTTAACAGATGTAGTAATTTGTAAAAGATTAAAGAAATACATTTAAATACTGATAAAGTAAAACAAAATTAAAAAATAACAAATTTAATTGACAATATTTAAAAACATACACAAAACGTGTCATTTAAGGTAATTGTTATTTTTGAGACACTTGATATATGAGAAAAATGATGAGTTATAATAGTTTAAGTTTCACAACTTAATTCACTTCTAACGTTAGTAAATGATGTTCCCATATTTTTCATTTTTTATTTAAAATTTGAAAAAATAATAATAATAGAGCCTAGAAGGGTCAAATCTTTTATTTTTAAGTCCATTAGAGTTGGTCTTTTTAAGTCCAAAATTCAATTATACCTCCTAACTCAGGAGTCCAGTCCTAACTATTTTTGGGCTCAAAAAGAACTCGTTTTCTAGCTCTAAAGCTGGTGGCATTCATGCCCCCTAACATCTTGTGCTTGTCCTAAAATCATGTTTGACAAGGAGTGTATATTCCCTGCGTAAGCCGTAAGAACTATTCTTGTCCCTTAGAGAAGCTATAGAATGTGCAAATAGGCTTGCTAGATTAGCTCATGTGTGTGACTGATGACATTTTTGTACCTATGATCATACACCCATTTGTGTTCTTAAGGCAGTTGATGATAATAGGTTGAGAGTTGTAAGACCTCGTATCAGTTATTCAAGTTGGCTTCCTGTTTTGACCCAAAAAAAAAGAAGAAGAAGAAGAAGGAACTATTCTTGTTTCTTGTCTTTGCTTCCGGCAGGCTTCAATGCATTTAGAAAGTAGAAAGTATGTTGTTTTGGTGCCTCTCACGGCGTAATGCTTTTCTGCAAAAGATTCAATCTTCACTTGGTAGGTAAGATTACCTACTACTATGAAAGCAGAATGTGTAGGCACTAGCATTATATCTGATATGCATGCCCCCAGAAAGTCAGAAACCCATTTGTCAATACTAACAATAATAGAAACTTCACTGAAAAATCTCCACGCACTAATCATTTATAGACAAAGGATTTGGGCCCAAGTACTTAGTATTTACCAAACATATAGCATGCGGGGATAAACACGTTTCTTTTTCCAGGCGAGCCAAAGATTCACCATTACATGATATTGTTGGCATACATGCATTCACCATGCCCCCTTCCAAGTTTTTTCTTCAAATTCATAAGATACCGAGTAGCTTTTTGATGTCTCGCTGCCATACCACAAGCATGTAAAAATAATTACGAAAATATGAAAAGAAATTCCTTTAAACAATCTCCCTCAGTAACAACAAACATACGCAGCTTATGCATGATCAGTGTGAGTCATGAAACTTAAGAACATGTGTAACAAATCCCGGGCTTTACCTCAAGGCTGAGAGGAGAAGTGGTGGGATAATAGCGATCTACAGCTTGACCGTTCTTGTCAAGTAGAAACTTGGCGAAGTTCCACTGAATATCATCCCCAATGATTCCCCATTTTCCTGTCTTCAAGAACTTGTACAACGGAGAAGCATTCTCACCATTCACTTCAATCTAATAACCCCAGCACAATATGGAACATAATTGTGTCACATTTAGAAGTTGCAAAAATCAACGAAGGGTATACTTTCTCCAGTTCTCCACAACTTGACAAGCAACATTTAAGTTGGTAGTTATACAGGATACAGCAGTTTCGAAACAATTAGTATGATCTTATTCCTGCGTTATTTCTTGAACGAAATGCAGCACCAGTTAGAACAGAAACAGACAGTAGAAAAAGCAAATCAAGATATAGAGCATATTCGTGCCTATTGTTTATAATAGTCCTTTTGTCACTACAAAAACATAAGCAAGCACTTGACAAGCTCGATAAAAACAAAATAAAATTTTAGACCTTGGAATGACCAAGAATTGTAAAAAAAGACAGCTTTCCGAGATAAGCTACAACAGACTTTGTATGAGGACATACCTTATCAAAGATGGGAAATTCTGATTTGAAGCGAGTGCAAACAAACTCTGTAATTTGGTCATTGCTACCAGGTTCTTCCTCACCAAACTGATTGCATGGAAACGCCAGTATCTCCAGGCCTAAATATACCGTTAAAACCCAGTCTCATTTGTATTGGTTGAATGTGTTAAAGAACAATTGAAAAAAACAGCTATTATGAAGGTGACAGATTTTAATATCAGCATCCATCAAAGGGCTTCTCCTCTAGAGATAGGCAAAAAGTTTTATACAGTCAACACAAATCATATAGGCTACTCAAGGTAAATGGAAATCCAAATTTCAAAACACTTTCTGCGTGCAAGATTTTTCATTTTTGGGTTCAAGCTATATAATAGGGAAAGCACTACTTACGGTTCCTGTACTCAAGTTTTGTTATAAGCCCTTGCACTTTTTTTTAGTGTTTCAGGTCTTTAAACTTTTCTCCGTTTACGTTGGTTCCTATAGTTTTAGATAAACATTGACGTGGCACAAATGATGTTAAGATTGTTTATATGTCCACTAACACTGTTAAGTTTGTAGTGACGAGTTAAATGAGTGCTGAGTTAGACTTTTTAATAAACAAAATGAAAATTAAAAAAAGCCACATTAGATAAAATAAAAGTTATAACCTGTCTCAATATAGTGATAGGTAGTGAAAAACCCCTAAAAGTTTAAGTTGGGCATTTTTTTCATTTTATCTAATGTGGCTTTTTAATTTATTTTGTTTATTAAAAAGTTCAACTCAAAACACATTTAACACATTAGCACAAACTTAATAGTGTTAGCGGACACATCATCAACCTTAACACCATTTATGCCAAGTCAATGTCCCTCTGAAATTATAAGACTAACGTTGTAGACGGAGAAAAGTATAGAGGGACTTGAAAACTAAAAAAAGTGTAAAGACCTATAACAAAACTCAAGCAAAGTACAGAAATTAAAAGTAGGATTTCCTTATGTAATAAGTAAACAGCCTCATGTTGGTTATGACAAATATAATGACAGAACTTGGGGTTTTCATATATCTCATATTTTTTAGATAAGACTTTAGGTATTTAAGAAGTTAGCTTGTTTACCATTTTACCGACCCTGCAATCACGGAAGAGTCCCAAGTCCTGGCAAAGAAAAGAACTAATGGACAACCAGGAGATGAATTGGTGCGGAAAATATACCAGCAAGAAGAGATTAAATTAACTGATCAGTTTCAACGTTAAATTAAATAGCTTTTTTAGACTGTGAATTCAACAAGTTACTTCCTTTTCACTTATGCTAAGATTATGATTGTGATGGTCTGAAATGCAGCACATGAAACAATTAAAGGGTTCAAACTACAAACCTTTATCTTTATACTTCTCATATAATTGATTCAACTCCGTATAATTTGAGTTGGTCATGCCACTGCCTCGATCCCGAACAAGAAGAATAATAAGTTATTGAAGAATAGAAACAAGATATCATAGCTCCAAAGCACCAAATAAAAAGTAAGTAAATAAATAGATAAGAGGTTGAGCACCGAAAAAGATATCATAGCTTCAAAAGGATACAAGGCATAATAAGCAAAAGACACAAGAAAGAAGCAAATAATAGCAAGTTAAGCATGCAGGTTTACCATTTGGAAGCAACATTGACGATCAGCAGGACTTTTCCATTGTAAGTAGAAAGGTCAACATCATTTCCCTTAGCATCCTGCAAGCGAACATTAAAAAATGGAGACCCCAAATATAAGGGTCCAAGCACTCAAAAGTTCGCAGTGGAAAGGATGTTTCAGTGAAGAAACCTATATTGATATTCCCCTTTACTTCCAGAAACAAGTTAGTTAGTTTCAAACAGATGAAAAAGGGCGCTGAACCAACAGCAAAACTAAAAACATGATAGGGTTGGCCAATAAAACATCCTGGAACTATAAGATCATCCTTCTTTTATGATACCCCATACCATAAAGGGAAAGCGAAGGTAGATGGGCAATCAGTAAGTGACTAAAAGTAAAACAATGATAAGAATCCAGAGAAGACCAACCTTGACAACAAAATCGTAAACAGACTTTGGATTACTGGGTTGAGTAGTCATCGCACGCAGCCGAAGAACACAAAAATCAGAGAAACCCAATTACAATCAATGAAATGCGGAGCTCGCGCATGAGGCACGCCTTCAGGGTACGAGTATTACTGTATTGGGCATTGGCCTATCAGCATCAAGGAAGGTTGAAACTTGTTCCAGTGAAGCGGTCACACGTGGCGGGATTCGTTTGACTAAGGCCCACCAGTTTGTCCATTTTCAATAGAAGTTTTTTTGCTCTTTCCCCCTGCCAGTCTCTCCTCATTTTTAATCTCAAGACTCAACTACCAAATTACGTGCCCAAGAAAGCTTTTAAGATTTTAATTTAATTGGGAATAATTTTAAAAAGTTATGAATTTTTTAAATTTAAATAATTTATTTAGTCTCATGAAAATAGTTAATTAGTCTCATAAAAAGGATTGGAATGAGTAAATCAAAAGTCGATATTGCGCTGCTTAAAATCAAATTAAATAGTATTTCTTTTGTTAAAAAATGTAAAATAATTTTTGAGAGATTGAATTTTAAAAATATAATATATTTTTAATATTTTAAGGTATAATCATTATCTTTTTTTAAATATTTTTAATGAATAAATCACTTTATATTTATTTTAAAATAAAACACTCTATTAAATATGAATAAATATAAAAAAAGATAGTGTTAGTTTGAAAATATAAAAAACTATTTTATTGGGGGATGATATTAAGTTAAAAATATTTAATATTTTTTAACGAAAGAGGTGTATAATATTTATTCTTAAATTTCATGAATATTTAACTTTATTTTTTGCAATTTTTTTTAATTATAGTTCCAATTATAAATATAGAAAGTATAAGGTTTAATTGACGAGCGGAGGAAAAAAATAAAGAAAAAAAAACCTATAAATCTAGATATCTCGCCAATAGTCATAGCTCATAAGCCTATCTATAAGTTATGCTCCATTTAATTCTTATTATAAGGATTGCTTTATAAAAATTACTTCCTTCATTTAAAAATATAAAATATTTTTAATTGAATTTCACTTTTCAATAAAGTAATTATTTACTTTTAAATTAATTCTATCTTTTTATATTTACCCTTATTAAACACCTTACAATAAATATAAAATCATTCATCAATAGGAACATTTTTTAAAAAAAGATAATGATTACATCTCAAAAAATTAAAAATATCTTACATTTTTAAACATTCAACTCCTAAAAAAATACTTTATATTTTTTAACAGGGGGAGTAAAATTCAAGAAAACTAGTAAAAAATACTTAAATATTAAAAATTTTTATAATTATCATTAGTCAAGTTGAGACAAGGTAGATAATGAGAGTGCTGATTTTTAGAAATAAATTATAAATGTAAATGTTTCATTAATTTTTATAAAAAAAATTGTATTAATGAATTCGAGGTTATAAATAGGACTGGGGGGTAATTTATAATCATTAGCCTCATATTTTATTTTATTTTATTTTATTGAAAATAATGTAAAATATGAAAAGATAAACGGAATAAATAAATTATCTAATCAAACAGGTATTGCTCCATTACTGCCTCTCTGCATTAAAATTACAAAACCACAAACGTTAATCTTTATATTCACATATGCATGAAGAAACACTGCACTTGCATAATGTAAATGCAAACAAAACCATCAACCTATCTTCCATTATTTACAGGTTCGGTTCATCACACATGATCCAGTAACTGCCTAAGTTTATTTATAAGAACAACAAGGCACTGTGCTACTACTGCTACATCAAACTAAATCAAAACCTTGAGGCATCATTCTATCCTAATGCCCCGAATCTCAAGCCTGTCCAGCTTCTTAGGCCTCCTGTAATATTTCAGCAACAAAGAACAACAAACAACACTCACAGATGATGCTGCCATGGCAGCCCCGGCAATCCAAGGAGGCAGTCGGAGTCCTGTAAAAGGGAAAAGAACTCCAGCAGCGATTGGAATGCCAAGAAGATTATAACCCAAAGCCCAGATGTAATTGAGACGAATATGGAAAAATGTTCTTCTGGAAAGATCAATTGCAGTTATAACATCCTCCAAGTTGCTCTTCATCAGAACAATGTCAGCAGCCTCAATAGCTATGTCTGTGCCAGCACCAATTGCCATTCCCACATTTGCTGCTACAAGTGCTGGTGAATCGTTGATACCATCCCCAACCATTGCCACTGTGTACCCTGCAGCCTTTTAAAACAAAAAGGAAAAAAATCAGCATTCCAATAAAAACTAGTATATTCTTGTCAATTTACTTCATAACAATAAGGCCAGCAATCAAAACTCGACTAGGAAGTACACAACAATTTTTTTTTTTTTTTCATGGGACTCGTGTGTACCTGCAACTCTTTCACTTTCTCTGCTTTCTGATCTGGTTTAGTCTCCGCAAAGACCTCCTCAATTCCAACTTCCCTTGCTATTGAATCAGCAGTTCCTTGATTGTCACCAGTTACCAGGATGCTTTTAATGTTCATGGACTTGAGGATTGAAATCACTTCTTGAGAACCTGTTTTCAATGGATCAGATACTGCCACAACTCCAGCCACTTCCCCGTTAATAGATACCAAAATTCCAGTTTGAGCCATCCCCTCAGCCTCAGCCAGGATATCTTCCGCCTCAGGAGGAACAGCAATATTATGGTCAGCAAACAAGCTCTTGTTACCCACAATAATTTCCTTGTTACGAACAATGGCCTTCACCCCGTGGCCAGGTATGGTGACAAAATCTTGTGCTTCAGGCCAAGCCGGGTTCTCTTCATCTTTAAATTTCTTGGCATACTCAACAATGGCCTTGGCCAATGGATGCTCGCTATTCACCTGGAATAGGCATGTAAAATAATATTAATCCAAGCCAAACGTAACTATAAGTTGTTGAGCAACATACAGATCAAAGAACTCGGACAACAGATTGCCAACAGGCTTTCTAGTAGATACAATTTTCCCGTTATAAAAAAAGGTGGTAATAGTTGATTAGAGGCTAGGAACACGTCTATTTTGGAATTTTTTAAAAATTTTCCACATTTCTTCTATTTTGGAGGAAATATTATGAACTAGCTGAAGCCTAAGCTTTTCAGCAAAAGTGATTATTGCTCTTACCTCAGCAGCCGCTATAAGTTCATAGAAATCTTGGAGTACCATATTGATCAGAAGTTTAGTGTTTACAACCACCGGCTTCCCAATGGTGAGAGTACCAGTCTTGTCAAAGACTATGCAGTTCACCTGCAAAAGAGTCATGAACAGATTTCAAATCTTGAGGATGCTTACAACCAGACATATACCAATCATGTGTGATTGCACAGCACAGGAAAGGTGGAAGAAATTCCAGTGCCTACAACACTCCATTTAGTCAATTAGCAAAATTAATCCCAATGAACAACTTTGATGTCAATAAATATTCTTTTCATTCCAATATTCCTCTCAACCTTTATCATGTAATTATGGAAGCGTGTCAAAGTTTGAGCTTCAATTTAAAACGGCACCAAGAATGGAAGGATTCAAAAAGCAAGATAGCTGTCAAATGCTTACCTTATGTGTGCTTTCTAATGCTTGCCCCCCTTTGATTAGTACGCCTTGAGATGCACCAACACCAGTGCCAACCATAACAGCAGTTGGCGTGGCTAGACCTAGAGCACAAGGGCAAGCTATGACCATGACAGAGATGCCAAACTGTAAAGCAAGCTCAAAACTGTCCATGGAAGATGGTATCCAAGACTTTGGGTAAGCATGAAACCTTCCGGCTAGGAACCATGCAAGAAAAGTGGAGAAAGAGATTAAAATCACCTGCAAAAATAAACTCCTTTCAAGTAAGTCATTTATTAAAAAATTGAAAGTCTTGATAGAAGATAATAAAGTAATAACTTGAACAAATCCTCTCATATGCATACCAAAGGCACAAAGAATTTTGAAATACGATCAGCAAACTTCTGCACAGGAGCTTTGGCCAACTGTGCAGACTCAACTAGTCGAACGATCTGAGAAAGAGCACTCTCTGATCCAACTCTTGTTGCCCTGACATGCAACACTCCATTCTCATTCACAGTTCCTCCAATAACAGGATCACCCTTCCTCTTTGCAACAGGACGTGCCTCGCCAGTTATCATGCTCTCATTCACGTGGCTCTGGCCCCAGATGACAAATCCATCAGAAGCTACTTTTGCACCGGGAATGATTTTAATCAGATCATTCTTTTGAATCAATCGACTGTCAATTTCTTCTTCATTAATAACATTCCCTTCATTGTCCAGGGTCAACAATATAGCTGCGTCTGGGGTCAAGTTCATGAGCTTGGCAATTGCATTAGATGTCTTCCCCTTGGTGAAGACTTCCAGATACTTTCCCAGCAGAATAAAAGAAATAAGCATTGCGCTGGTCTCAAAGAAATCAGTCCCTTCAAAATGTGGGGAGCTAGCAGCTCTCAGTACAGAGTATACTGAGTAGAAGTATGCTGCATTTGTTCCCAAGGCAATCAAGACATCCATGTTAGCAGAACCATGGCGTAATGCTTTGTAAGATCCAGAGTAGAATCTCCGGCCAATTATGAACTGAACTGGCGTGGAAAGTGCCCATCTTATAGTCTGTCCCACCGTAAGCATATTGACAACTTTGGTGTCTAGTCCATGCTTAATTCTCGGGATATACATAAGAACCATAGAGGTTAAAAAGACTGGAACAGTAAAAACCAAACTCCATAAGAAGAATCTATAATATTGTTTGATTTCCTCCCGCCTGTGAGTATCTCTCCGTTCTCCTTGTTGAGGAAATAGTTTAGCCTTGAAGCGCCCAGACCCAATTCTTTCAATTACGTTGATAAAATTCCTAGGTCCTGTCATGTCTGGTTTGAAAGAAACAGATATTTTGTTCAGCTCAGGATATAATTCTATACCCTGGACCCCTGGGAGAGCTTGAAGAGAATTTTCAACGATTCTCATGGAATGTTCTGTTTGCACACCCTCAACTTGGAGCTCTACTTTGCCTATGTCTTCACCTGAACTGATAAGTGTGGCTTCAAATCCAGTGTCTTCTATGGCTTTCAGAATTTGAGTGTGGTTGACAATGTTTGGATTGTAGTGTACTTCCGCTTCTTCAGTTGCCAAAGCCACTCGAGCTTTCAGCACACCTGGAATTGCTTGCAGAGCTGATTCAATAGTGGAGGAGCAAGAAGTGCAAGTCATTCCAGATATGGTTATGCGACATACTTGAACGGATCCCTCATTCATCTCATCTCTGACCAATGTAGCTTCAAACCCAGCATCTTCAATGGCCTCGCGAATAGTCTCCTCCTGATAATATCCATAATCTCCAGGGTGAATCACAAATTAATAAAATTTCTACCAGACAGTGAGAAGAGCGATGGAGGAAAAACAAGTTCATGTAAGAGACAATGCACAACCGATCTACGTAAGTCGTTCCAGGGGAATAGAACAGCTGAAACTTGGAAAAGGAAAAGAGGTAAGGAAAAAAAAAACGGAAAAGAAATTAATGATTTAGTTCTTATAGTCTTGATTCCGGTAGAACCGACTCTTAAAAATTTAAGTCAATGCAACTTAATTTTTCAAGTTTTATCCATTTAATTTGTTAGTCCCTATATTTTTTGATCCGATTGAAAACTCAGTCCTTAAAAGGCTAAATGACTTTTTAAAGTAGAAACCAACATATTAAATGACTGATACTTCAAGAATTGAGTTGAATGAATTAAACTTTAGGGAACGAATTATAGCTAAGTCAGTGCTAGGAAAAAAACGTTTAAATTGGCTTCAAAATGAGCTCTCATTTTACTATAAACTATTAAGAACAAAATGATGCCATTGAAGACTCATTAGAAAAGGTCGATGTATCTTTGGTTTCATGTGATATGATTCCACTATATCAATCAACAAGGTTCAATAATTAAAATCCAGATCTTAAGTGCAAGCAGCTTCAGGGAATTTCGGACTAATAGAAGATCCTGGATCTCAGCCTTTTTTTTAAAAAATATAAGAAAAAAAATGCATAAGTAGCTACAATATATTCATTTATCCCCATCAACAACATTGAACAATCGGAGAAGAAAACTAAGGAGAAACAAAATTTTTGAAACCTCAACTTCAAGCAACAAAATCATTTTGAAACAAGAGCCCAATTAATCACAAATGCGTTCAGCTTATTCACCCCGAGATCCCTCAAAAAAAGGAGGAGGAGAAGGAGCTGAAACGGTTCGATGAAGCAATCAAAGTTCAAGACCTTGCAAGAACAAGAACAATTTAAGACCCCCTGCTAATCACTAGAAAGATCCCAGAAAGAAATGTGTTCATATCCTAAAGTCATAATATCAATTAACCGAGCCATTGAGACTGAAAAGATAGAGGAGGGCCAAAGGAAACAAAGTGCTTTACGTTAACGAAGGCGGGGTACAACAGCACCAACGCTCGATTATTGAGAACATCGACGACGGCTTCACGAATTCCAGGTAGGCGCTTGATCGCTTTCTCGACGGAACCGGCACAAGCAGAACATGTCATTCCGACGACGGAGAAAAGGGCCTTGGCTTCTGACCCCTCGACGTTGCTCCCCTCTTCCAACGTCACGCCCTTGGGGTAATTCGGCATCGACGGGTAATGAGGCCGCATCGATAGTGGAACCCATTCCTTACTGCGGATGCAGCTCAGAGCTAAGAGCTTGGACGCCATGGAAGTTTTTGCAGCAACCCGCAAACTTTTTTTTTTTAATTTTTGGTGCGAAACGGCTCGCAAGCTAAAGGCTTGTAGGCGCAGGCAGAACTGCAGAAGGCCAACTATTTTTAAATACAGGCGGGGTTTATTGTCGTCTAATGATAACCGATGCGACGCAATTGCCCAGTGAGCAATTTTGACTTGAGAGAGATTATGAGTGGAGGATGATCCTACGGTGAGATCTGCTTTTGACTTTACTAATTATATAACGAAAAGTTGAACTTAATGGGAATGTCCTTGGGTGCCAGCATAACGTTGCGTGGGCTTAAAGCAATCCAGGGTCGGTTTAGTTTAATGGGACTATTTTTGGAACGATGACTATCCATTTTTCATGATAGGAAAAAAAAAAAAAGAATTGGGATTTAAAAAAAAAAACAGAATATTTGGGGTAAATATAAAAAGCAAGCTTCGCCGACAATGAAAAAAATGTCTCCCTAAGAAACTGAGAGTAATGGTTAAATTTTCTCCAATTAAATTGCTGTATGCACAATAAATTTTTATTATCATTATCTGCAGAACTTTTTTATAAGATATTAATTGTTTATATAATAAATTTATTGAAAACTTGAGTATTGAAGATATGGCACTGATTGTTAGAAATTAGAATTGGATGCTCCTACCAAGCTATTTGTTCCCTTTTTTCGATTTTTTTTTTTAGGCCAAATCCTTATATTCAATTCTCTTCGACCCTTTTTTGCTCTAACGTGTCTTCTGGTTTTTAAATCAGAAAATTATTTTTTCTGGTTTTGTTGATGTGGAATCAAATTGACTAAAATAATTTCATAAAGGTTGTCTTTTGATGATTATCACAATGATTGGGATACAAAATGGTAAACTGTAAATTTGTCAAATGGCATGACATGTGCAAACGAATACGTTACATCCTGTACCGTTAAATAAACATTATCAGAACTCACATCATGTATACGATCGCGTTAGATGTCTCTATGCATTTAAAACCCGAAGCTTGCACGAAACTGCCACCTCAATTATTCATTCCAAGTATTTAAACTGGGCCATTTTTTGGACTGTCGATTGAGACCCAACAAATTAAGACGTATGGGATTACTTATGTGGGCTGACTAGCTACTTCAAACCCCTTTTTTGGATTGAAGCCCAAGGAATTTCGAGGAATTTAGACGTAAGGGATTACGTACGGGGACTGGCCTTCCACTGCAAAGTTCCAACACATACTACTTTTGCGGATTATATAACATTGCATATTTAAAAAAAAAAAAAAAAGCAAGACCCAACCTCAAGAAAATAAGGAAAAAATATTTAAAAAATAAAAAAAATGTGGGGAAATGACAAATAAATCCCTCGGAAATGTGATAATGCCTACTAAGTCTCAAAGGACCTAGTTGTCCTTAAATTTTTTGATGAAATGATAAAAATATCCTTTAATTTGAAAAAGCATAATAAAATTGCTTTTTTTCACAACTTTAATTATGAAATTCACAACTATCAATAAATGACTAAAGTGGTTTAGATATTCACAATTTTCTCTCATCATTTTCCTTCAATTAGTAAAGTACACAAAAAAACAAATTCTTTCACAACTTTGATTCTAACATTGACAACTCTTGTTCAATAAATAACTGAAATGGTTTACATGTTAGTAACTTTCTCTCACCATTTTTTTAATTAAGAAAGCATAACAACATTTGTTTTTGTTCACAACCCTGATTCGATAAATGACTAAAGTGGTTTAAGCATTCACAATTATCTCACCGTTTTTTTCAATCAACAAAGTGCAATATTTTTTGATTATTCACAATTTTGATTTTAGAATTTACAAGTATGGTTTAGTAAATAATTAAAGTGATTTAGACATTTACAATTGTCTCTCACCAATTTTCTTCACTTTATAAAATTAAGGGTATTTTTGTCATTTCATCAAAAAATTTAACAACAAATAGGTCCCTTGAAACTTAGAAGGTATTATCACATTTTACGAGATTAATTTGTTATTTCTCTATTTTTGGAGGGATTTATCCAAAAAAGGAATATAATCCAAAGAAGAAGACTTTTTTTTTAGCCAACCATAGAAGAAGAAGTTTAGATTTTATAAAAAATATCATCAATATATAGATGTATATTAAATGTTTTAATCTTCTCACATGTCTTGCTCATAAAAAAAAAAGGAAAATTTTCTCAAAAAAACCTCACCATAAATTTATTTACTCAAAAGAACTTGGGTCATATTTTGAAACTAGACCCTTCTCTGGCATTAAATGAGACCTGCATAATCATCATTTTGCCAGTATTGAAAGAAAGAAAAAACCAAGCAAAAGCTCCTGCTCTTTATGCACAATCGTCTCCAACCCAACATTTCATTTGGTGTAACAAACTTGTCGCTGCTTTCGGCCGGTGACCAAGTTCACAAGTTTGTTAGGTTAATTCGTTCCGTATTCAATAATAATGGTGAGGTGTTATTTATAAGGTCAATCTTAATAATCCAAAATTTAAATATGATATCTTAGATAATCATGAGACTAACCCAAATGAGTTACCCAACCATAATTAACCATTTTCAAATCCAAATGCATTTGTTTTTAAAATTGGAATCTCAAGTTTTCAACACTTTAAAATACTTAAATTTGGTTCTAAGCACTTCAATTTATAGTAGAAACAAAGTATGGAAGCATGTGATACCATTTGGTAGTTTAAAGACTCAAAATTAATTGAAAAATAAGTGGGACTATATAGAGGAATGTGTAGCAGCATGTACATGTGAGCCATGGCATGTATCTTGCTGTGCCTCACATCACAGCATGTTGCACAATTTGATGACAACTATGCTGTCATTCCTATTTTTCTGTCCAATATCCTATTGATGTGATTTAGATGTTTATAGAAAGCCATTTTTATACACTAGCTAGTAGCACGTGTTTTACTCTTAAATAATTTCATATGAATGAGGTAAATAGCCAAATTCATTTTCACACTTTTCGCAATATATAAGGTGTCCAAAACCCAACACTCATGCCAAAAGTTACAACCAACAACTAAAACACACTAAATCTAGAACTACTCTTGCAACACACTACATGCACAATATAACTCACATATATCATTTTCAAATCTCAACCCCTTTATATCAAAATAGATAAAGGAAATCTAACATTGCATAAAACATGATATTTCTGCTCAAATAGCAATTCTAGTTCTTTTAAACATTTGCACAAGAATTTTGTTCCTATAAAAAGGTTACTCAAGCTTATACAATAACTTTAAGGTTCTAAATTACAATAAATTTAGTCATGTAAATTACAAAGTGCAAGTAAAGATCAAAACATGATCCTAATTGGCAACATCATATTTATTACGCATATATTAATATGAAGAAAGGGGATTTGTGATCGAAATAACTTATGCCTAAACCTCCAAAGCTTTTACCTTTTAGATGCCCAAGCTATAGCTTATAAAGTATTAAGAGACAAGTGAGTACCACCACTCAATAACTAAAGTTTCTTTACTCTATGCAATTGCATATTAATTGACATTTTTAAAACAAAGCGTATATGAGACATACAATCACATATTTCACAATTTCTTATATATCTCATGTTATATTTATATAAATCATCATATTATCATCATATCCTCATTTTTCATTAGTCATATCATAAGGCACATTGCCATAATTCTAACAGCCATATGATAATGGCTCAATTAAATATAATAATGCACGCTGTGACAATAATAAATGGCACCATTAAATATCAAAATATGATTAAAGACCCCTGCATTTGCATTTAGTCTTCCAGACTGCATATCATGGAAGAATAGTTGTATATGATTGAAGACCCCTACATCTAGTCGTTAAAAATTTTCAAAATATCAAAAGCTATTACTCAAATAAATGAAAGTATTCTCACATATAGTTGAAGTTCAAATACATATAGTGGAAGAATAGCTGCATATGATTAAAGACCATTGCTTCTAGTCTTTCATAATGCATCTAAGTTAAAAAAATTTAGAATATCTCATTTGGTTATTCAAATAATTAGAAATTTTCTTGTATGTAGTTGAAGTGCAAATACATATCATAGAAGAGTAGTTGCATATGATTGAAGATCCTTACACCTAGTCTTCCAGAATGCATCCAAGTTAAAAAAATTTAGAATATCAAAAATTGTTATTTGAATAAATGAAAGTATTCTTGTATATAATTAAATTCAAATGCATATCATAGAAGAATGTCACATTCCAGTTTTTAATCCTCTGATTTCCTAAACTTAATTAAGACAATTAAGTAAATTATAGTGGTGTGTGGCCAATGAGATCCAATAATCATGTTTAATTGCATTTCAACCTTATTTATGAGTTCGGTATCAAGTCAGGCCACTCGAAAATTGAAAGGAGAAGAAAATGAAGAGTTGGTGTTGCTGTGCCATACACTGTGGCGTGGAATGCATCCATTGCAAAGCACAGACATTTCAGATGTGGAATGTGAACCTCTTTGTGCCATGCCTCACGGTGCATTATGCGTTTGCCACAATGCATAGTCATTTTCTGCAGATATCATTCGTAAAATTGAGACAAAAATAAAGAGAAAGAAAAGGAGAAAATGGAAGAGACATACCAAGCTCCGTTAAGGTTTGTTCTTGGGTGACATTGGTATTTTGGAGGCTATAAATACCCAAGGTAAGTACTACACTCATTAATCTCTCCATCTCTTTTACATTTATGAGTTTATGATTAAAGTTTGATGATGAAAGTGGATTTTTAGTCCTCGTAGGTTATAGGTTTGAATTATTGACTCAAATAAAATTAATGTGAGTAGATTGAAGTATCTAAACTTAGGTATAATAAATTTTGGTATCTTAGATTGTTTGACACCATAAATATTCAAAATTTGCATTAATGTGGTTTGTTGAAAGTGTATGATGTCATCAATAAGAGTTTAATAGCTTATTAATATTATTAGGGACTAAAGATAATTAATAAACCCAATATATAGGCTTAAACTCATGTAAAGTGAATATTGGGCAATGTAGAAGTAAAGTTGAGAGTTGAATACTTGAGTTTGACAATATTAATGGAGTTAACTTGTTAAAT